GCCTCTGCTTCAACTCCCAGCATATCCAAAATAGTTTGAACCTCCGCTGTTTTAATCACTCCCTTTTTCTCCTTATCAAAAGTATCAAAAGCCATTTTCAACTCTAAAAATAATAAAACAAATTCCCAACATGACTTTATTATTTATTATTTATTTTCAACGACAGATAAAAATAAATGAAAATTTATCACGCACGTTTACGCTGATCTTTACTCAATTGTCCTGGCTCCTGTTAATTGTTCATAAAAATAATGTAATAATAATCATATTATCCACATCACTCAACAAATGCCACTGGAACTTACCATTTTACAAATGTAATAATAATTAATTAGTGAGTCAATAAATAAAAATTCTTCAACTATTCACGATCCACGATGAACCACTAGGTTGACTGTTAATGACTTTCCGATCGAATGAGAACGTTTAATTAGATACTTATCATTACACCAATCATCGATGCCATCTTGGCAACAGATTGCATTGTTTCTATTTAAATAAACAATTGTTTTTAATTATACACCCGTCCAGTGCGCATGGTGGCACGTCACATTCGAGATCAAAAGAGAAAGAAATAAATCTAGGTTGATTAATTAATAGATAGCAATATTTCATCTTATCTATCATCCATAATCATCTATTGTAATTGCTTTTATTTTCCTCATTACACATCTGTGTCATCCACTTTTATACTTGATTATATTTCTATACTCTTTTTAGTTTATAGTATTTTGGGATAAGTTATATCCATTAAACTTATCTAGCTCATTGCCAAAATCTTTTAACGATGCTGTAATTGGCCTCTGGTCAGACCTTAAAACATACTTTTAAATTGTTGGCCCAATCGGCTGATACATCGATACATGTGTCTAACATGATAAACATCTCACTCGTAAATTAACCACCACCAGACTTGTTAGTAAACTAAAAATAATCACCGCATGGACAACATATTTCAGCGAATCTATTCGCATGTACTCATATTTATTTCTAATTATCATTGCTCACGTGGTACTGCAAATGAATTCACTGTACCCAGTGCTTAGTCTATTTTTACATTTAAACTTCGTCTCTTCACCAATGAAATCTCGGTCAAATTTATGCACTGAATATAAAGTTCAGATATAAAGGAAAACGAGTGGAGAATTTATTTTTAATAATAATCGGTTGATATAAAATTAAAAATTATAAATCCAAATCTCATCGATTACAATTTTGATTTTTTTCATTCAGTAGTAAAAAATGGCTGGTATTCCTAAAAAAGAAAAAAAGACTCATCATAATTGTTTAATTCATTATTAACAATTGATTTTCCATTGTGCAATTATTCTTAATTACGAGGACATGAACTTTCTGGAATTATTCCTCGAAAACAAAAGGGCCGATCAATTCCATTTTTTTTTCCTATACTCATTCGTGCGGCGTCTACCTTATACAATTTTTATAAAAAAAACAATGGAGCCGTTGATTTTTAATAAATTTTAATCTCCGGCGCTTCATTTAAACCCGTGAAAAGTCAGCAAAAATTTCAAAAATTTCTATCTCAAGTTCAAAACGCAGGATTTCAACCAGAAAGTGATCATTCTGCAGCTGCTCTTTTCAACTATACCCCACAAAAATTTAAATAAAAACTGTCGAGTAAATATTTAGCACTTAAATTTTAAACGGGACGTTCAGCATTCCACGGTGGTAAAGGCGGTGGAAAATCGCCAATACCGATACAATACTGACCAACAAGGTCATCGTGACTACTGGTCATTTTTTTAACTGACTCATAGTAATTTTCTCGGAACATGATATTTCTCTGGGTTACTGGCGTTAAATATTCAGGCAGTGCGTTATCTTTCAATTTATTATCATCTTTACGACGCAATGCGCCTTTCGGTAAAATCATGGTGTTTATTTGTCCTTGTTTCACCATTATAACTCTAGGATTGCCTCTAATCATCTGTGGATTCTTTAGAACAACAACGAACGAGAGAACACCACCAACAATAAACGACAGACTTGTAATTGACATAACAATAATTATTGCTACTGGTTTATCCGACTTTGTTAACCAATTTTTTTTTAGACCCAATATCGGTGTCATGGCTAAACAATTCAAAGGTGAAAACCCTTCCCTGTAATCCAATAGACACAACGTGTATGCAAAATTTTCCTCTATGTTATATAAGATTATTGAATTATTAACGTTAATTAGGCATTTTATATTGGTGATGGTTTTATTAATATTTTTAAACCAAATCAGGGCGTGGGAATTACTCGAATTTTCCAAGTGCAC